CCCTAAATAATCCCCCTGCTTCCACCCTTGTCTCTTCAATATGTTCTCATAAAGCAGTCAGATTAATCATATATATGAAAATAGAAATTAGATCATATTACCCCTCACCTCAGACCCATCAATGTCTCTCCACCTCATGCTAACAGCTAAAGTCTTCACATTGACCTGTGAAACTGCATGATCTCTAGCCACCTGCGTCGTGGCTTCTCTGGCAACATTTTCTACCATCCTCCTCTCTCACTCTCTCCATGTCAGCATATCAGCCTCCTGGCTGACTCAAGGAATTGCTAAGACATGCCTCTGATTCCAGGGCTTTTGCACATGTGGATCTCTCAACCTGGAACGTTTGGCCTCTCATCCCCTTTAGGTCTTGGCTCAAATGCTATCTTCTCAGTAATGTCTTCCATGGCCACCATATTTAAACACTCCATGCCCCAAGATCCTTCTCTACCTTTCTTCATAGCACTGATCATTACCGAACATCCTGTATTCATGACATCTTTGTTTATTTGCCTAATCTCCACGATAATAGACAATTGTTTGTTTTGTTGGATTCTGCAATCCTGGGTCCTAGAAAAGAACTTAGCACACAATAGCTCTGAGTAAATACTCTGCTTGAGGCTAGAAGTCTGAGCTCAAGGTATCAGCAAGGTCAATTTATTCAGAGGCCTTTCTTCTTGGCTTATAGATGGCTTTTTTCTCCCTGTGTCCTCACACGGTCTTCTCTTTGAATGTCTGTGTCTTAATATCCTCTTGTTATAAGGACATGAATTATATTGGTCTAAGGCCCTCCCAAATGGCCCAATTTTACCTTAATTGCCACTCTAAAGACTCTATCTCCAAATATGGTCACATTCTAGGGTAAGGGGATTAGAACTTCAACACATGGATTGGGGAGGGGAGGCAGCACAATTCAGCCCATAACACTTGATTAATCAGTTGGCAGAGATGAATTGAGGCTCCTATGGTATAAGGATCAGGGTTTAGGATCAGAGATGGAGTGAGGCTTTAGTGAGGATATAAGTGGATGGAGAGCAACAGAGCTCATAAAAGGTTCAATTCTGGAGTGAATGAGGGTTGGGTAGAGTGAAGCACCAGGAGTGAATGAGGCTGGAAGAGGGTACTTGCTTCAGCCAAAGGATGAGACACAGGAATGGGATTAGGGAGAAGCTATGTAGAGGAAGATGAGTAAATTGGTGCATTGAGGGATGAGGAAAGGAGAGATTGGTCAAGGTTTGAAGAGAAAGGGATGGGGAGGGTCAGAAGAGTGGCAAGGTGGTTAAGACCCTGGGATAGGGTCAAGGATGTTGGGAATATCACTGATGGGCAAGATCACCTACATACTTTGCAGAGCCCAGTATTCAAAAAGTATTGAGAACTGCAAGATGGCAAAAGCCAAGCATAGGGAACTCTTCTAAGTAAGGGACCCTGTCCAACTTCATAGTTCCAACACCCATGAAGTTGGTCCCGCCAAATGGGTATCAAGGTCAGAAGTAGGTGCAGGTTAGAAGTTGAACAAGGTTGGGGTAGAA